ACCTCGTGCATGCTAAGGATAAGCTCTACCACTGAGCTATACCCTTCCCCTAAAAGAAAAGATTTTAATACTTGACATTGGCAGTGGGAGGTTGAAGTGACGGCACAACTTGCTTCATGCAAGTGCCTCCCACCCCCACACCCCCGAAACTCCAAAACCAAGGGTAGTGTCTGGACCTCTGGAACAATTAGGCAAAGAAGTCACATTTCAACAATCTGTATAACTGGTGGGTGGGGGGAGGGAATGCATGGTTTCTACGGGTACTGGCCTCTCAAAAAAAGAAAATGAACCATTCAAAACCCTGGGAACTGCAGACGCAGAAGCACAGCTTAGAAGCATCGTGGATGTCCTCCCGTTGGAGCGGCAACTGTGGACCACCTTCAAGGCAGGCCAGACAGGTAGCCGTGCAGGGCTCTGCGTAAACGTGGTGTTGACAGAAAGCACGCGCTTCCTGCACTGTGAAAGCTACACCGAACTAAGTTAATTCCCACAGCATGTCTTGCTTCGCCAGCATATTCACTGTAAAACATGTAACAGGCACTTAAAATAGAAATCCAGATTACAGGCAATATTTGGGAAATCAGGTCTTCCTCAAGCTGTGGAAAAATCTGGGTGGCCCAGATTCCTTCCTTTCTTAAAATAAGACTGCTTTTCCTCCCACTCTAGAAAGAGGTGGAAATGTTTACATGGATACATCTGATGTGTTGACACAGCTCTTAGCAATAAGTCCTTCAAAAGGGCGATCTTTTCCTTCAGTTTCTGCAACAAAGCTCTGATTGTCACGGTAAGCTGAAAAGAAAAGAACACAGCCTAAGTATGCCAGTCCAGAGGTGTGAGATCGCCGCCACATAGCATGTAAATGCTGCTTTTCACACTATGATTCCACCAAGGGTGGGCTGGAAGGGACGCTGAGCCTCCCGACAACAACCTTGGGCTTGTATGGAATTTTTTTTTTCATATAGATTCTTACCAGTCACCTGGTCCAGACACTGTACAACCTGACCAGGTGGTAAGCCAGTCCAGACCTGAATCCTGACACTGACTGGAAACTCACTTTGCTCTCACAATCAGCTGACTTCTGTCCCCTGAGCACCCACCCTTTGATCCTATTTGTCCACCTCGGAGCCATGCAGGGAACTGCATCCCCCCAGTCTTTGTTCACCAGTAAAAACCCAACCGTTCCCTCAGCCATGCTTCAAAGAACAAGATGTCAGGTCCCACTGCCATCCTGGCCAGTATTCTCTAAACACACTGGGGTACTCATAACTCATTACAAGTTTCATAGCAGTTAAAGCTCCTCTTGTATAAAAAGCAGTTTCAACCTCATGTGACTCTCTTTCCAGGAGCGCATCAATTTTCTCCAATTCACAAACCCCGAGTCAATTTTTGTTTGTGACTCTAAGTGCCACCTTAAAGGATCGGTGGAGGGGTGGGGAGAAAGCCTCCCAGGACTTTAAAAATATGAAAAATAAAACTACCCATGTCAAGTAAACACAGTCACCTATGAATGCAATCAGAGATATGTTTAAAAAGGCAGAATATCCCAGGTTTCACTTGCTACCTTGTTCAAAGGAGCAATTACACAACGGCAGCAGAAGCAGGGGCTCTCTCCTTAGATTAGCAGGGTCCCGATAAGGAAAATACAGCAGAACATCAGAGGCTGGCCAAGGGCTACACACTCCAAGGTATCAGCAGCCAAGGAAAGTCTAACCCTAACTATTGTAATACCTCTGGGAACCACGGAAAAACCACCCACAGTGTTCATGGGAGAACGCCAAGGAAGGCAGATCCCTCCTCATTCAAGAAGTAAAGAGTAAAATAGACAAACAAAAAAGGCACAACACATATTCTTACACACTTACACACACACACACCAGGTCTAAGAAGAGTCTACAAAATTCAAGGCCAAAAGCATTCAACAGGTGAAAGAGTATGTAGCCATTAAAAAGTATGACTGAAATCTAAAGTGGTTAACATAGTAAGATATCCACCATAATTTATTAAAAGAAAAAGAAACCAAGTCACACTCACACAGAGAGAAGTCACCTGGGAACTAAACACATCAAAACGTCAAGGGTGGTTATCTCTAAGTAGTGGGATTTCTTAGTATTTTATAGGAAAACGATTACTTTCATAATCAGGAAAGAACTTCCATCACAATAATTTATCAGAAGTTTTCCAAAGCACAGAAAATGATGGAAAGCCTACTTCATATT